CATTTTGGGTGTGCTGCACTCAGCAAACACCCAAGCTGCATAAATCAACCATTGGAGGATCAGCTAGTGGCAGTGGAAGCTGCTCCTGCCGTTGATGACCAGCAGATTGTTTGGGCCGAGGAATCTGCTCCTGCCGTTGAGGAGCAGCAGATTGTTTGCTTTGAGGACGGGTTTTGTATGAGATGTCAAATTATGTGCAGTAAGCAGATTGAAATTCTGCTTACTGCGCCTCCCCTTCTGCTTACTGTGTTCTGGCGGGTAGGTGTTTGCACTGTCCTGTCAAGTTGTGTGGGGGGTGCAGTATGCAGAGTCTAATTCTGCTTACTGCAGCCCTTTCATCGCCGAGGAGCAAGCTGCTGATGAAGGTGATGATGACGATGCTGAGTGTGGGGATCCAACACCAAGAGGAGTGGAAACTTATTGTGGCGGGTGCAATCTACTGCTTCCACTGTTTTGAATAGAAACAAATACACATATAGTCACCTAGCACAAGTAAATCCTAGTGGTTGTCCCTGAAGGACGCCATCAAGGCCCCAGAATGCGGCTTAGCATCTATGACAAGCTCCTGGCAGTGCGAGAGGCAGAGAGATTGGTGGAAGCAGGGCAAAAATCTGGTATAGAGAAGGCTGTCATGGCCCGTTTCCCTTCATATTTTGCTTCCACCAAAGGGTTCAAGAGCGGTATGCTTGGGAGATGGATGACACAGTGTGAGCAACAACGCTGGAAAGAGGTGCCCTGGGAAAAGCTCAGCGAGAAAGACCGTCGCCTTCGTGAACTTCCAGACTGGATCAGGATTCCCATGGGAATGGGTGGCAGGGGGCTAGAACGATTCAAGGAAGGCAAGCAGGTTCCGGAGTGTGTGGCAAAAAACCTCGTGGCCATTGTGGAAAGAGTCACTTGTGGTGGAGCTGAGTCTCCTTTGACGGGTGGGAACTTGGACGTCAAGAACTTGAAAAAAGAAGCAGAACGCCTTCTGAAGCTATATTGGGATGCCAAGAAAGAAATCAACCCAGATGCAGCAGTTCCCAAACTTGAAGTGTCAGAAAGGTGGATCCAGCGCCTTTGTCAGAAGAATGGCTGGACCAGAAGAGCTCCGAACACATGTGGGGCATATTTGCCATACGAGGACCAACGTATGGAAAAAAGCCGGAAGGCTTTTGCTTACACCCGTCTCAGCCAAGATGTGAGATTGGACCTGTGCCTGAATTTTGACCAAGTGTGGAAGCAGACTTGGAGTGACCCGAAACGGCTTCTTCTCAAGGTAGCCTCATCAGAAGGGTTGAAAGGAAAAAGGGCACAGGCTGTACAAGAGATGATGGATCTTCAAGAGCGGCTTCGGGGTGGTGGAGAAGGTGATTGGAAGGTGGTGAGAAGAAGAGTCACTGGAAGGGATGCGCGGGCAAACCTGGTGGGGAATTCCCGCCACTCGATCACAATCATCACTAGCCTGTGGGGCAATGGGGAGTGTGGGCCATTGACCTGTGTCCTTCCACTGGGCTTCATCTCCGACGATGCCCTGGCCGACCTGAAGAACCGCTTCAGTCCAGAGTGCTATTTTTTGAGCTCTGGACGGTCATCCCACTTCATGAACGCCGAGAGTGTGGTGTTGTACTATGAGAATGTCCTTGCTGAGGCCTTCATAGACGCACACTGCTAGCAGAACGCTACGGGAGGTCATTTGAGACAGAATGGGGGCTAATCCTTTGTGATTCCTTCACTGGCCATCATTCGGGTGGAGCTTCTGATGTTCAGAGATGCTTGGCTGTTTGATGTATAACCTATTCAATTCTGCTTTCCCTAAAGAACTCTTTTTGTCTTGTTGAGAGCCTGGCTGGCCAATCAGCGTCAAGGAGAGACATTTTCCACTTCGAATCGGGTATTGTTGCTGGACAGGCAGCCTGGCGGCTGGTCAGCCCGAGGACAACCGGCAGATGCAATTCATGCCCTGCTGAGGAAGTACATGGCGTTCTACAACGAGTCATCGCTAGGCTATCGCGCGGGACTGCTGGAACAGGCATCTTCAACCCCACTGCTGCTTTCTAGTGGAAACCCGTACCACCAGCTTTCCCACGAGGATTGCATTATCTCAGCCATTTACGGGTGGAAGAGGTTGGCCAAATGCAGATCGGTTTTGAGGCCAGGTTTGAAAGAGTTCCAAAGTTATATATATATAGAAATATAGTGTGTATATATATATATATCCTTGCAAACCGTAGGGCTTTTGCTGTTCCTTTGGTGGCCATGCAAGGGGTGCAGTAAGCAGAGTGTAATTCTGCTTACTGCAGTGTCTGTGCCACCCCACCGGCAGTTTTCATGAGCCAAATGAACAAACAATACTGCAGTAAGCAGGAGTGAAATCTGCTTACTGCATATGTCAGGTGGGCATGGTTGAGCAGAGGCATGTGCACAAAAGAAGAGATGGTGACCTTCAACGGAGATATTGAAATCACCCCAGAGAACCTCACCAAGCAAATGGAGGAGTGCGAGCTGAACATTGAGAACCAGGCTTGGGAGGCTTCTATGGAGGAAGTTTGGACCCAGCCAGACATTTCCAGCACCTCATTTCTATGGCAAATGAAATCGGATGGACCGGATGAAACGGCTGAACAGTGGGAGAAAGAAGAAGAGATCTGGCAATGCCTACCTGCTCACTGGCAGGCTATCCTCAACAACAAGCTAGCTGGGTTTCACGCAAGCATCCAAGACACTGAAGTCTTGTATCAGCATAGGTTGGCAGAGTATGGAGAAGCAGATGTAAAGACAAAGAATGCGGCTGCGAAGCTTGAGAAAGTGAAGACTGGGCAATTTTCAGAAAGCGCAGTTTTGATATACAAGAAGACTGGCAAGGAAGTTTCCCCAGATGTGTACAACAAGTCGGTATCAAAGACTCAGCAAGGCATCAAAGTGAACGTGAGCAAGCATGTGGAGGTGTTCATGCTCTCTGTCAAGGACATGACTTTGAAGAGACTTCCTCAGACTGATGGTGAGGAGGCTGATGTGAAGCAGCTGAGGATTGTCTCTGTCACTGCACGGTCCAGGCAGATTCAGGAACTGCGCCTTCATTTGGATGCACTATCCCTCGCTTCCTCACACGTTCTTGATGGCATCAAGTCGGAGGAGAAGAAGGCCAAGAAGCAAAAGACAGAAGACAAACAGGCCGGTGGTGTGGGGTATATATATATATTAATACTGTAGATGGACAAATGGCAACTGTTTTAAGTTCTACCCTTATAAATGAATACTGTATATATATATATTATTTGCAAATATGCAGCAAATGTGCTGCAAATGCAGTAAGCAGAAACAAATCTGCTTACTGCAGTCTTGGCTGGGCGGGTAGCGTGGAAAAGTTTGGAAGACAACATGTAAGATTTGAACCAACTGCAGTAAACAGAACTATATTTTTCTGCTTACTGCAGGGTGCATTCTGGCCGCCTGGCCAGGAGACGGAAGACCCCGAGCTGGAAGCCCAGCTTGCTATGATTTCTGAGTGCAATGCGGTCGACAAGGGAGCAGAAGAGGACTTGGAGCTAAACATGAAGCCGGAGCAGGAGCAAAACCAGGACCACAATGAGGCAAACCCTGACAAGGAGGATGAGGTTGTGGAATTGGAGATTGCAAATCCAGGTGAGAGTGAAGATGAAGAGATTGAGTATGACTTTTCCACGGGGGTGAACTTTGTTTGCGATGGCCCCTCTGGTGTTTCATCGTCCGATCCGTCACCTCCAATTGCCGTGGCCCCTCCCTCTGCATCGTTCAAGGACATGCCTGCCTTCGTCTTTCTGGAGAAGCTGAATCTGACAGAATTGCCCCACGTGAAGGGTGCGGGCATCGGGGTTCATGTGACAATCCAGGCATGGCAGGTCAGATATCCACCAAGTGGCTCCCAGAAAGCTTCTTGTGCGCGCTCGTGGGGCAACCTTTCCAAAAAGGGATTTGTCTCGCAGTGCAAGGCACTTCTTGAATGCTTGTTGTGGGCTTGGGAGAGGCACTTGGCAGAGAACCCTTCCTGCAGTGTCTCCCAGACCAAGGTGGGTATGCTCAAGGGAGCATTGATTGCAGACCTTGGGCGTGACCTTGAGAAGTGAAATTCATGAATTTATAGATGCACGATCTTCTTGTGGGGTGCCGGTGGCTTTTTGTGCAAA